GGGAGGCTGAGGCAGGAGAATCACTTGAACCTGGGAGGCAGAGGTTGCAGCGAGCTGAGATCGTGCCACTGCACTCCAGCCTGGGCGACACAGCAAGACTCTGTCTCAAAAAAAAAAAACAACACACACACACACACACACACACACACACACACACACAAAGTTAAAAAAACAACAGATGTTGGCAAGGCTGCAGAAAACAGGAACACTTGTACACTGCTGGTGGGAATGTAAATTACTTCACCACCGTGGAAAACAGTGTAGAGATTTCTCACAAAACTTAGAACTACCATTCAACTCAGCGATCCCATTACTGGATATATACCCAAAATAAGTAAATCATTCTCACAAATGTGATAATAATTCAATGCACCCACACAGGAATTCTGCGTTTTATTCAGTCCATGGGATTCATGATAAAGCCAAGACATCCTTTGGTAGTCTGGGGATCTGAAAGTGTGTCTCCCTTGTCTTCCTTTAGAAAGAACTTCCCAGCAAGATGCAACAGTCTTGGGTGCCATGTTTTTATGTAAGAGAACAGAAGAAGAGAATGCCTTTTCTTCGTAAATGGACTGATATATTGGAGAAAGACTTTACGTCATTTAAAAGTAACCGATCTTTTCTTCTGTCCTTGGAGAATTTTTTTTTCTCTCTTAACATTTAGACGCGTTACTATAATACGCTTTGTTAATAGTTTCTGATTACTATTACTCAGAGCAAGATGAAACCTTCCAATTTCCATCTCATTTATTTTTTCAATTCTGGCTTTTTTAAACGTCCTTTTCTGTATTGATTGTTTTGGTCACAGGCAAGCTGCCTTTCACGCAGGCCAGAGCCCTAGAGTCAACTGTTATTTTTGTTCAGGGTAAGACTTTCTATTCTTGTGTTCTTGTGACAGATCTTTACTTACTGAGGATGGAATTAAAAAGTAACAAAAAATTTCAAAGATAGAAAGATCACAGACTGACCCATTTCTTGGATTAAAAAAAATCAAGAAAATAGTGTTCTCGCATTAAAATTTTTCCATTGAATGAAAGTATAGGGTTTTGGGTCATTACTTATAGGTAAGCTTGTATATGTAAATGTATGTATGTACACTACATGAAAATTATATATACGCACGTATATATATATTTACATAAAGCCCTGCTTCTTTATTCAGGTGGTGGGGATGGATTTCTTAAGAACGCATTTCTTATGCAACTCATTTGAGCTCTAAGCAGTACAAAATAGCACAAAATGAAAGGAGAAGTAGTATTGTCTCTGAAGCGCCTTGTGTATATTATTCCATTTGAAAAAGGGAGCTCTGTCATCAGGAACCCTGTAGTCACCTGGCCGAGGCACCTGTACATCAAGTTAAAAAGGTAGTAGATGCTGGTGCCTACAGGGCTCTGGCTGTGTAGGCTGGAGTAAGAAGAAAGGACTCACTCTGGGCCAGTGTGGTCATGGAGGGACACCTGGAGAAGGGATTAGAAAGAGGTGGATTCTCCCTTAGGCTCCTTTCTACTAAAAGGCCATGCATATGCCAGGAAGTTGGCTAAACCTAGAGGTAGACCAGTAGCTCTCCAACAAGGGCACGTAACTGTTACCTGGTGGGGTGGGAGGGCTTGGTAAACACAGGGAGCTGGACTCCCTGCCACTCTGGAGTTTCTGGTTCAGTAGGTCTGGGATGGGGCCCAAGAATTTTCACTTCTAACAAGTTCCCAGGTGAGGTGAATGCTGATTGGAAACATGAGAACCAGAGAATTCTGTGTAGACTCGGAACCCAGGCCTTTGCCTTTCTGCAACCAACAGCACCCAATCCCACTTTAAGAACTGGCAGAAAACCAAGGCTTATGTCAAGATCAGCTTGCAGCCTGCAGGATGATGTGGTTTATGGAAAGTTAAGAGGCAAAATTATTCCCCCATCTCCAGCTGCTGGAGATGCCTGGAAGTACTGTAAGAGGCAGGTAATTACACTCTAGGGGGACATCTATGACCCTGAGGCAACTGACACTTTAATAAAGACCCACCCTGAGCGGCAGGGGAGCTGAATTGTCATGCAGGAGACAAAGCCAGGGAGAAATTGCCTGGGGGCAGACTGGGCTCTGCAGGGACCCTTCATTCCAGCCCATCAACAAGGAGTGAGGAATCCCCAAACTGCTTTCCACAACGGCTGAAAGAACTTAAAACAGAATTACCATTTGACCCAGTAATCTCATTTACTACTGGTTATAGAACCAAAAGAATACAAATCATTCTACCATAAAGACACATGCACACGTATGTTCATTGCAGCACTATTCACAATAGTGAAGACATGGAATCAACTTAAATGCCCATCAATGGCAGACTGGGTAAAGAGAGTGTTGTACATGTACGCAATGGAATACTGCACAGCTGTAAGAAGGAGGAGATCGTGGATGGAGCTGGAGGCGATTATCCTAATCGAATTAATGCAGAAACATCCAACCAAATACCGTGTGTTTTCACGTATAAGTGGGAGCTGAACATTGAGCACAGATCGTCACAAAGAAAGGAACCATAGACACTGGGGCCTTCTTGAGGGCAGAAGTTGGGAGGAAGGTGAGGATCAAACAACTACCTATCAGGTACTATGCTTATTACCTGGGTAATAATCTGTGCACCAATCTGCGCTCATTGAGGTGTCAATTACCAATACAGGTAATACACAATTCACCTATATAATAAACCTGCACATGAACCCCTCAACCTAAAACCAAAGTTAAAAGAAGAAAAATAAAAAATAAAATAGACCAGGCGTAGTGGCTCAAGCTTGTAATTCAAGCACTTTGGGAGGCCGAGGGGGGTGGATCACAAGGTCAGGAGATCGAGACCATCCTGGCTACCACGGTGAAACCCCGTCTCTACTAAAAATACAAAAACAAAATTAGCCAGGTGTAGTGGCGGGCGCCTGTAGTCCCAGCTGCTCGGGAGGCTAAGGCAGGAGACTGGCGTGAACCCAGGAGGTGGAGCTTGCAGTGAGCCGAGATTGCACCACTACACTCCAGCCTGGGCGACAAAGCGAGACTCCTTCTCAAAAAATTAATTAATTAATTAATTAATTAAATTAAATAAAGGCCAGGCATGGGGGCTCATGCCTGTAATCCCAGCATTTTGGGAGGTCGAGGCAGGAAGATCACCTGAGGTCAGGAGTTCAAGACCAGTCTGGCCAACATGGTGAAATCCCATCTCTACTAAAAATATAAAAAATAGCCAGGTGCAGTGGCACGTGCCTGTAATCCCAGCTATTTGGGAGGCTGAGGCAGGAGAATCACTTGAATCTGGGAGAAGGAGGCTGCGGTGAGCCGAGATCATGCCACTGCGCTCCAGCCTGGGCAACAAAGCTAGACTTCATCTCAAATAAAATAAAATAAATAAATAAAAAACAAAAAATAGGGAGTGAAAGGAGAATGTATGTGATCCCACAATCTGGTGGTACAGGGGTGTTGGTGGACAGGACTGTGCTGCTGGGGAAGAACCCAGGAGCCCCCTCCTTGCTTCAGGGATCAGAGACAGCCACACAGTCCTGCCTGCTAAGCAGTTCCCACCACTACCACCAAGCCTGCAGAGCCTCACACTCAGACCTTTCCTGCCAGGTCACTGCAAAACAAAATGAATCATTTCTGGAGATCCAATGTACAGCATGGTGGCCACAGTTAATGATACGGTATTGTAGACTTTTAATTTCCTAAGAGGATAGATCTTAAATTAGATCTTCTCACCAGCCCCCACACACAGTGGTAATTAGATGGAGGTAATGGATGTGTCAATTAGCGTGATTTTGGTGCTCGTTTCACAATGTATATGTATATCCAAACCTCACCTCACCTGTACACCTTAAACATGTAGTTTTTGTTTTGTTTTGGTTTGGTTTGGTTTTTGTTGTTGTTGTTGTTTTTGTATGAGACAGAGTCTTGCTCTGTCACCTGGGCTGGAGTGCAATGGCATAATTGTGGCTCACTGAAGCCTTGAACTCCTGGGCTCAAGCGATCCTCTTGCTTCAGCCTCCTGAGTAGCTGGGACTACAGGTTCACACAACCACACCTGGCTAATTTTTTATCTTTTGTAGAGTTGGTGGTTTTGTTATGTCACCCAGGCTGGTTTTGAACTCCTGGGCTCAAGTGACCCTCCTGACTTGGTTTCCCAAGTCACTGGGATTATACGTGTGAGCTAATTTTTTATTTTTTGTAGAGACAGTGTCTCGCTATTTTGCCCAGCCTGATTTGAACTCCTGGGCTCATGTGATCCTCCTGACTCGGCTTCCCAAGTCACTGGGATTACAGGTGTGAGCCACCAAAATCTGTATATGTCAATAACATCTCAATAAAGCTGTTAAAAATAAATCTGCGGGTGTAAAAACTAAACCACAAATGCCTTTGTTACAGAGACAGGGTCTCTCTTGCTCTGTTGCCCAGGCTGGAGTGCAGTGGTGCCATCATAGCTCACTGCAGCCTCGAACTCCTGGGCTCAAGCCATCCTCCTACCTCACTCGCCAGAATAGCTGGGACACAGACATGCACCACCACGCTTGGCTAATTTTTCATTTTTTGTAGAGACAGGGTCTTACTCTGCTGCCCAGGCTTGTCTTGAATGCCTGGCCTTAAGTGATCCTACCACCATGGCCCCCTAAAGCGTTGGGATTACGGGCATAAGCCACTGTGCCTGGCCTAAAAATATTAATTTAAGGAGATCATTTAAGAAACATTTAAGAAGAGAACAAAACTGAATGGGAGTGGGAACCACCCTCTCCAGCTAATGCCCAGAGTAGGTTGCCATGGCATGAAATCTATCAGCCAACATTTAGAGAGGGGAAAGCCTAGGTTTCCCTACCTAAGGAGGGGTGACAATGCAGCTCATGCATCTCCCAGGGACAGAGCGGAGTAAACGAATCTGTCATTCATCAGCTGTAAGAAGCTTTAAATACACCCCACAGATGATCAAGCAGCTCTGCTCACAAACGTGGACACACCAAGAGGAAGGGACACCATGTCACAAACCTTGATTCCTAGTTCAATATTTTCTCCTCCGTACACATCCATGCCAGGATCCAGAAGACCGATTTCACCGAAGAACTTCCTGTTGACCACAAACGAGCAGCCTATCATGGCTGGGGTCCTGCGGGAGGGAGAAAGAAAGGAAGCTCATTGAGGTGTCGGCACCAGAAGCCCTTCCATTGGTACCATCCTAGCATATACTGGGTTCCAGCCTAGCAAATCAAGTCACTTCCCTCAATTCCCACACCTCCTCTCTTTGTAAGTTGTTTTTTTTTTTGTTTTTTTTTTTTTAAGTCGGAGTTTGCTCTTGTTGCCCAGGCTGGAGTGCAGTGGTACGCTCTTGGCTCACGGCAACCTCTGCCTTCCGGGTTCAAGCGACTCTCCTGCCTCAACCTCCTGAGTAGCTGGGATTACAGGCATGTGCCACCATACCCGGCTAATTTTGTATTTTTAGTAGAGATGGGGTTTCTCCATGTTGGTTAGGCTGGTCTCGAACTCCCCACCTCAGGTGATCCGCCTGCCTCAGCCTCCCAGAGTGCTGGGTTTATAGGCTTAGTCACCGAGCCTTAGCTTCAGAAGCATCTAGGGATAATGCGGCTCACTCGTAGATGGTGTAAGGGCTGGTCTCATGTATACATGGCGTCTGCACACATAGGAAGTGGTCCCTGCTGCACTCTGTTGACAGCTGAGTGATAGGATGGGGATCCTTGTGCAGTCCCAAAGAAGCTTGGAGGTGGGAAGCAAGATGCATCACTCCCCACCCCAGGAGAAAGAGAATGAGCAAGCTAGGAGTGCAACGGGAAACTGGAGAGAATGAGATTGCAAACAAGGGCTCCAATCTCCATGTTATGGTGGGAGAAAGTGAACCAGGGTGGCGTCTTTAGAAAAGGGTGAAGACTCAGGGAGGAAACACATCCTAGTCCCTAGAGGTATCCATCAGAAACGGCAAGGAGACCACCCCAGCCCGCAGAGAGGAGGTCTCAGCAGGAGAGACAGAGAGCATCTGTAGAGTAACCATGAAGTCAGGACAAAGGATTCTTTTATTTTCATATAAATTCATCCCCTTGGTTGTTTCTTCCTGGGAAGGCTAAAGGCACAAGTTGACCTATTGAAAATTAGAGACAAGAATCAGGTGAGGCAACCTGTCAGAACAACTATTATTAAAAAGTAAAAAAGGCCGGGCGCAGTGGCTCACGCCTGTAATCCCAGCAGTTTGGGAGGCCGAGACGGGTGGATCACGAGGTCAGGAGATCGAGACCATCCTGGCTACCACGGTGAAACCCCGTCTCTATTAAAAATACAAAAAAATTAGCTGGGTGCGGTGGCGGGCACCTGTAGTCGCAGCTACTCGGGAGGCTGAGGCAGGAGAATGGCGTGAACCTGGGAAGTGGAGCTTGCAGTGAGCCAAGATTGTGCCACTGTACTCCAGCCTGGACGACAAAGTGAGACTCTGTCTCAAAAAAAAAAAAGAAAAGAATAGAAAAAAAGGAAAAGTAAAAAAAAAAAAAAAAACCAAACAAAACCAAACAAAAACACACCAGATGTTGGTAAGGTTGTGGAGAAAAGGAAACACTTATACACTGTGGCTGGCAGTGTAAAACAGTTTAGCCCCTGTGGAAAGCAGTTTGGAGATTTCTCAAAGAACTGAAAATAGAACTCCCATCCAACCAAGCAATCCCATTAATGGGTATATACCCAAAGGAAAATAAATCCTTCTACCAAAAAGACACCTGTATCCCCATGTTCATTGCAGCAATATTCACAATAGCAAAATCATGAAATCAACCCAGATGCTCATCAATGGTGGACTGGATGAAGAAAATGTGGTGCATATACACCATGGAATACTATACAGCCAGAAAAAAGGAATAGCATTGTGCCCTTTGCTGCAGCATGGACACAGGTGTTCAACACTAGCATGGAAAAGTTGTTTCCCAGATTTCAGTCCAGGGATCAACTTCATCAGCATCAACCCAGCAACTCCTTAGAAAATGTAGCTTCTGGCTGGGCTAACAAGCAAATTAATGCAGGAACAGAAAATTAAATACCATATGTTCTCACTTGTAAGTGAGAGTGAAACATTGGGTACACACAGGCTTAAAGATGGTAACAATAGACAGGAACTCCAAAAGCAGGTAGGGAGGGAGAGGGGAGAGTTGAAAAACTACGTATTGGGTACTCTGTTCACAATTTAGGTGATGGGATCAACAGACGCCCAAACTTCAGCATCACTCAATACACCCATGTATCAAATCTGCACATGTACCTCTTGTATCCAAAATTCTTTTTTTTTTTTATTTTTTTGAAACGGAGTCTCGCTCTGTCGCCCAGGCTGGAGTGCAGTAGCCGGATCTCAGCTCACTGCAAGCTCCGCCTCCTGGGTTTACCCCGTTCTCCTGCCTCAGCCTCCCGAGTAGCTGGGACTACAGGCGCCCGCCACCTCGCCCGGCTAGTGTTTTGTATTTTTTAGTAGAGACGGGGTTTCTCCGTGTTAGCCAGGATGGTCTCGATCTCCTGACCTCGTGATCCGCCCGTCTCGGCCTCCCAAAGTGCTGGGATTACAGGCTTGAGCCACCGCGCCCGGCCGCAAAATTCTTTAAAAATCACGTGAGAGCTGCACGCAGTGGCTCACACCTGTAATCCCAGCACCTTGGGAGGCTGAGGCAGGCGGATCACAGGGTCAGGAGATTGAGACCATCCTGGTCAATATGGTGAAACTCTGTCTCTACTAAAAATACAAGAATTAGCCAGGCGTTGTGGTGCGTGCCTGTAGTCCCAGTTGCTCGGGAGGCTGAGGCAGGAGAATTGCTTGAACCTGGGAGGCGGAAGTTGCAGTGAGCTGAGATCACGCCACTGCACTCCAGCCTGGGCAATAGAGTGAGACTCCGTCTCAAAAATCAGTCAGTCAATCAATCATGTGAGACAATACAACACATGCATATATGTGCAGGGATTGACGGGAATGCTGTATTATTCTACCACGTTCTTTGCAATGTTGTATGATGTATGGGACCATGTGTTGTAAATGAGAAAAACCATATTGATAAATATTAAGTATTGTATTACATTGTGCATTGTAGTATAGTATCAATAGATAATTTATTATATCTTTTTGCCTCTGTTTCCAGACTTTATAGGAACCCTTATATAATACATTCATTGAGTAAATATTTTCTCAGCATCTACCAAATCATGCCCTTTTCTATAGCTGGATGTACTCTAGATCCCAGATGCAGCTGGAGACTACTATCCTAAGCAAATTAACTCAGGAACAGAAAACCAAAGACTGCATGTTCTCACTTGTAATTTGGAGCTAAGCATTGGGTATACATGGAGATAAAGATGTCTACGGCATTTTGCTGGTGCTGTAGAAGGTGGGAAAACAGAAGACAGAAGACATACTTCTGTCATCCAAGCAACTAAGAGTGAATATAATAATAATATAATTATTATTATTGTTATTGCAACTATTTATTGAGAAATTTCCTGTCTCAAGCACAAGGTGCAAAGCACTTTCCACGCATCTCGTGTATGCACAACCACAACCCACTGAAGGAGGCAGAACCATCCCCATTGAACAACTGCGGCACACGGAGATTAGGTGACCTGAGTCACAGAATAGAACTCAGCATCTGCCTGGCTTCAAAGCCCTTGGTTTTAGCCCTTTTGCTTAACTGCATGCCTTAGAAAAGGCTCCATGGAGGAACTGGTAAATGCCCACACTGCCAAAGGCCAGAAACACCGATACGATGCTTCCCTGGGCAAAAGAGACACCTCACGCAGGAGGCCCATTGAAACACCACTGGGGCTGCCAGGAAGCTATTAGGTGGAATTCTTTGGAGCGGAAGTGTGGACTGTAGTCTCAGACCCTCATTGGCCAGTTCTGACTTCTGACTTGACTTTGACCTTGGCATCCCGGTTTCTGATTCCACGGAAAGCCACTAGGTACCCACGTGGTGAGGCAGCAGTGGATGAGCCTCTTCATTCACCTTCAGTGGTGGCACCAGCATGAAATGTGTAGAGTTGAACGCTGGTGCTGCCGCTGAAGACTATAATTGCATAAGTCAATGGAGCACTCTAGATCCCAGTTAAATCTCTACAGGGGACTGGCGCGGTGGCTCACACCTATAACCCCAGGACTTTGGGAGGCCGAAGTGGGTGAATCACAAGGTCAGGAGTTCGAGACCAGCCTGACCAACATGGTGAAACCCTGTCTTTACTAAAGATACAAAAATTAGTTGGGCGTGGTGGTGTGCACCTGTGATCCCAGCTACTCAGGAGGCTGAGACAGGAGAATCGCTTGAACCTGGGAGGCGGAGGTTGCAGTAAGCCAAGATGGTGCCACTGCACTCCAGCCTGGGCGACAGAGCGAGACTCCATCTCAAAAAAGCAAACAAACAAAAATTTCTACAGGGTATTGTTGTGTGGATTAAACAAGAGAAAACGTGCAATGGGCCCAGTGCACAGAGCAGGAGCTCAACAAGTACTGTGCCTTCACCTCCTCACTGGGAGGTGCCCTTCTGTGTTTTCACAGAAATCTCAAGCCAATCACACGTATGCAAGCAGGACCTTGCTTCTGCTAGTGTAGCAGGACCACCCTGGACTATGCCAGGGAAAAGCATGGCTTCTAATGTCCACCATTTCCTCCCAGCTCTTAGCCCCTTTTAGAGAAGCAGCCTGACCTTTAGTCTGGAAAAGCATTGAATGAATCCATTCCCTGGCCTCAGCGAACCGAACCAGAAAATGAGCACTGATCCCAAGCCAGGTCAAATTATGTTTCCTCTGAAGCTTGGAATTAGGTTTCTCCTGAAGGGGTGGCTTTGGAAATGAAGACAGCTCTGGGAGCTAGAACTCAATAGGCTCATACACCTTCAGGGCTCAGGCCGCCATTGTGAGCAGTTCCTGAGGGGCTCCATGCACATGGGTGATTGAGCAGAAGGAGGAGGCAGATGGACAATGGAGACTACATGGGCATGAGGGTGACTGGCTACCCGGGAACCCTGGCTTTCCATCTGCTGAGAGCCCTGGCTCTGCTCTCTGACCCTAAGTTACAGGAGGGTCCTTTGTGTCTTTGCAATTGGTCCTTCTCCACATAAACAGTGTTAGATAAGTTTCTATTCT